TATATATATATATATATATATGTGTGTGTGTGTGTGTGTGTGTGTGTGTGTGTGTGTGTGTGTGTGTGTGTGTGTGTGTATGTGCATATATATATATATATACATATATACATATATACATATATATATATATATACATGGGCGAACCAGACCGCTTGAAATGGGAGCGGGTCCATGAACTAATTCATGCCCGGATCGATACATGAATTGGTTCATGCACCGGTATGTACTGCCTATTTCATACCAATCTAGGAGAAACATCATTCCTTGGTTGTATCCTACATGTGTAGACACAATTAGGGCAAAGGCGATGTGCGACAAACTCGTGGCATGCACGAGACACGATTAGGGTTATCACTTAGACCAATGTTTTTATATAAATATGGGCGGACCAGACCACTTGAAATGGAAGCGGTTCATGAACCGATTCACACCCAGACCAATACACGAATTGGTTCACGCATCAGTATGTACCGCCTATTTCATATCGATCTGGATGAAACATCATTCCTTCGTTCTCAATATTTAGGGTTTTCTAGCTATTTTCTAGTTTCCCAAATTTCAAAAAAAATCTCGACGAGTTTCCAGTTTCTTGCTTTCATGCTGTTTCCTGCATTGGTTTCTCTTTTCTGCAATTAAAATTTCAAACAACCTAATACTCTGTAAAACTTCTTTTTCTTGAATTTACAACAGGAACATCAGAAGGGATCAACTTAGATTATCTCTCCTGGCATCATGTTCAATCAAATGTTAGATGCATATTCTGCAGTGCATAAGAGTATAAGCTACTCACAAAATCTATAGACAGAAACAATATCTACTATGAAAATTATATATATGTTAAGCTAATAGATTAATGTATAAAATAAAATGAAAACAAAAGGAGAATTAGCATACCTAGAGCCCCAGTGACAGAAGTCCGATGATATAGAGAAGAAATTCTTGGGATTATCCACATACTTAGCAAGCAGTTGGCCATACATGGCTTCATTCTCCAAGTTAAGAGCACCAACCATAATGGGCACAACTTTCACAGGATAACTTTAGAAAGAAGAAAACATGTAATAAACAGTCTCAGTACTATAATACGTAGATTAACACCCAAGCCAGTATGCTTACCCATGGAACACTTTGACAAGATAAGGCAAATGCATCTCCATGCTATGTTCTGCTTCATCTACATGAAGATCCATAAGTTCAAACTTCCCTGTTGCCCTGAGCTCGTCGTTGACTGGAAAAAAGAAAAAAGAAATGCTTGATTTTTTAATCTGTCACCATTGATCTGAACAGAAAAGTGGAGAAAATCATGCCAGATTTCAATTATATAAACTCTTAGGAGTCTCATCAAAAGTGCCTACTACCTGGTTATTCGCTCATGCAGAAAAACTACTTTCAAATTGCATGACATCACCTCTAATAACAAGCAAATGGCAACTTGCAGAAACAACTAAAGACTACTTGATGTATGTAAATTACATAATCTGTGCTACAGTGCATAAAGATATCAGGAAATGGTAAATGAAATATAATCTTATTTAAACATTACTTGTATACCTCAAGAAGTACATGATATACCTTCTAAATCAACTGGAAGATCCCCCAAAGGAGTACTATAAATGGTGGCTCTTGTAAGGGCACATTTTGGAGTATAATAGTGATGAGATGGACCAAGTAGAAACACTCGTTCTCTGCAAAAGTAGAATACAGATTGTCCACACGTTAGTCAAGACCATAAACCAGCATACCATGACCATGCCATCCAGTAGGTTACTGAAACCACTATCCGACAGGCATTTATATCCTTGAAATACATAAGGTCACATAAATGCATAGGGACAGGATTAGAAATCAACTAAACAGGTCCTAGGGTGAAACATTATTATTTATAAATACATACATTAATTTTAGAAAGAAAACAAAATAGATTGAACGATTAATACAAGTTTCTGGATGATTTTTCAAATGCCCTCCAGAAAAAATAATGCATTTCAAAGTAAACCTTTATTCTGATTATATCCCATCATTTTAAACCTCAAAAATTCCACCAACTGATCTGCATACCAGATCACTTCTACATAGAAACAAGACATGTAACTATCATTAGTGTCACTCATTTAAAGATAATACAACAGTTGTCAGACTCGAATCAGTTCTATTGATGATTTTTCTACCCCACCATGAAGATAGATTCTAAGTTGCCTAAAGACTTAAATTAGTGTGTGCAATTTTTTTATTTTTCTTCAAGTTCATATTAGCATCTTATACCATTTTACTTTATAGAAGGCATACTTGTTAGGGGTCGACATCACTATTTAGAACAGGATCCAAATACCTAAAGTAAGTTTCAACTGTAACTCACTAGTTCCCTGCAAACAACTACTGCAAAATATTTTTGCAATATCCGGAGGTAGCGAACGTTATAATTAGTGTGGATTAGCACATGGAAACTTGATTAGCATATATTTTGGAAATAAAAGCAGTCAACTCACATGCTTGCAGGATCAATGTTAGCAAATGCAAAAGCTGCACAGCGGCCTGAATATGAGTAGCCAGCATGCCTGCATTTACGGAATTTTCATCCAATGTATTTTGGGTGATTTTTTCACTCTCTGCAGTAAGAATACTTACGGAGCAATCACGCCTCTAACATTTGGTGATTTAACCAGGCCTGCTGCTTGGAGCCACCGGTCAAGTTCCTCATCCAGTTTCTTGGCTGATAAGGCATAAAGATGGAATTATTAGATAAACCGTATCTCAAATCATACTCAAAATGCAACAATAAATGAAAAAAAGGATAGTGGCTAGTCATATCATGCACAAAGAGCAACTGAAGACTTTCAGAAAGAATAATAATAATGCCAAAGGAGATGGAACCACAGAGTCAAATGTATTCAACTGCACTATCTACTGCACTATCTAGAGAAAATACAGCATGACTAAAGAATTGAACCTTAAATCTCAACCTCATCCTACTTAATGGGCAATTCTGCAAGTAATACGATATACTTTAGAAGTATTCAATTAACCAATGATGCACTGGTTAACCAATTATATTGGCATTTTCTTTGTAATATCTAGCACAATGGATGGTTTTCTCAGTCAGACCTGCACATGACTTGCGGTTGCTTTGTTTGCCCATGCATACACATACATCAGTACAAAACTCTAAAAGATGATATCATAAAAAAACAAAAAATATTCTAATTCTACCACTCTCCCATAATATGAGTTGACAATATCCAGCTCAAGGATATGTATGTCACATGGATATGTGACTATTATACTTCATAAAGGTCGATGTGAAAATTGAAGTAACTAGTATGATTCATAAGGGTAGGTGTGAAAATCAAAGTAATAATACTGATAGCCACATTTGCTAGAAGAATACATAATTTAATCAAGTTAATGTCACCAAGAATCATACGATAGATTATGATTATTGAACTAATTGCCAACCTAGACTTCACATACATGGTTGTTTCCAAAATTAACTAGATCTGAAATAAAATCTGCAGTTGATCCTTGGATGTCAAGTTACTGGTATCGGAAAAGAGCAACATAAATTCAAGGAAATGAGTTGTCTAAGTTGACAGAGCAGACCACTTTAACCCTGATGTTTGACTCTTACTATATAACTGTCAATATTACCATCTTCAGTTCCTCACAAACATCTATCTTCGTCTGCAGCTTGTTCACCTAATTTTTTATCACAGCATACTCAAATCTTAGTTATAGACCACTAATTTAAAAAATAAACTTTTCTTCAATTTATACTCGATCAATCTCATACAGCATCCTCAACATTTTTGTTTAGGGACCTCTACCTTCATCAAATCCGTAATTTGTGCAAAATGAAAGACAAAAAAATTGCTTGGCCTTGGGTTCTACATGAAGGTAAATCCTCGACATATTTTACCTGCAAAGCCCATAGTAAGTTGTCAAGGAAATGTTATACCTTGAAGCAAGGTTCATATCACAGTCTTTTTTCTTTTTCTGATACTATGAAAGTTACTTGTAAATAACACCAAATTTATATTACGGAAGTAATTTCTTAGCCTAAGGATTTAGTTTTCACCAAAAACTTAAACATGAACACGATCAAGCAGCCAAGCACATTGCTATGCAGACACCGAGTCTACTCACGCAAAAGCCCCCCTGGTTGCCTACCATACGAGCATTTAACCGAAATGTTAAACCATCTTCAATCGATCACTGTGCATGAGGGCGAACAAAACCCCCAAACAATCAACCAACTCCCCTTGCTGCACTCGATAAACTGGTCAAATTTCCATCGACTACAAAACAGCGAAGGCGGTCATACATCCATGTACAGAACAGATATTCTGCAGCAAAACCTACTCCGATCGCCGTCAAGTGATCAGAAACTGTGAGGGGCGGAGGGACTCACCGTTGTTGGTGTACCAGGATCCAGCATGAATTGCTCTTCGAACCGTCTCCATCGCAACCTCTCCACGAACAACAGATCGAAGCGGAAGGCAGAGCAAAGCAATCGATCCGAAGCGAGACGAACCAAACCCTACCTTTCTTCCCTTTTCCTTTCCAACGAAGACGGGAAGAGATAACGTGTAGATATCTCTTTATATTAGTAATTAGTTAGCTTCCGAGTTCGAGTAGGGGACGGACGGCGGAGAAGGCACACGATAAGAGGCGAACCGACGGCAGAGACAAGTTAACGTAAAAGGGATCCGACGCAAGGAGAACACGATTAACTGCTTCGAGTTTTACAGCTGTCGAAATCATGTGGTCGATCTCACATCGATTCGAGAGGTCTGATAACGATTGTAACTTGTATTTTGCATCGGACTAAGTTTGGCATGCCGCAATTGCGTTTAACCCACGCCGCTTCAATTTTCTTTAATAAGTAAAGCGGAAAGTGAAGCTATAAGGAAAATACATAAATATGCATATCAAAACTGTAATTTCAATATTTATCCTTTAATTTTAATTTATCATTATATATATATATAAGTTTTTTTTCATTTTTTTTAGAAAGTGCCACCAATTTTGGTTTTTTCCATTTGGTCTCATATTTCTAATAATACCCATAATACTATTCATCGTCATTAGTCGCCTCCGTCCACAATATTATATGTTGTTGAGCCCGTCCTTCTCTACTGTTATCCTTCTCTCACCATCTCCTTTTAGCCCTCAGCTTTGTTGTTTCATACGAGGAGGCTATAAGGGTTACGATGAAAGAGGAGGCCACAACTAAGACTTTCTCTTGCTCTTCTTTTGCATTACCGATCGTATCAAAGTGTTGCTTGTGTGAACCCACCTCTCACCTAAGATCATTGCCAAGCATCTTTTTTATCACATTTGTCATAATTCTTCTGTTATAACTCTTGCAACCTTCATCTAGTCCATCATAATCCTTGTCACAAGTCATGTGGGGTTAATGGTCATAGCTTAGATCATAGTGGTGGTACTAGGGGGGATCGAAATTGGTGATGGAAAGGATTGAGGATGTTCTCTTCAAAGTAAATATAATGAGAAACTTTCGAGATGAAGGCAATAAGAGAAACAATAACAACAATAGAGTTACGATGAATATGGAGGTCATGAGGCCTGTGATAATCGACAAGTAAAAGGGAGAAGGATACCACAAGGGCTATGGTCGAGAGGTCTTGGCGATGATTACAGGAGAGAGGTGGGCTGGTGTGGATGATGTCTAACATGATTAACTACGCGGAAAAGGAGGGAGGGGAAGCCTCATCATGACCATCTTCTTCACAATCATTAGAACCACTTTCATTAGAAAATGATAAAACTAAAGGCTAAACAGAGATGTCAAAGGAAGGGTGATGTATAGAGAGAATTCGACAATCAATATGGTGGAAGGTGATGACACAACGAGGAGCATTACAAGTATTTAAAAAATAAAAGTATCAAATAAAAAAAATAAAGAAAATCAGGATACCTTCCGAAGCACAAAAAGATGAGTTACTTCTATAATTATTATAAGTTAATTATTAATAATTATTATAATTTCCACGATGGTAAAAGTATTAGAGATAAGTGTTTTATATTTTTGACTACTTCTTTAAATATATAAACATAAGTTTAAAGCTAAATGAGAAAAAAAAAAGTTATTTTATTTATTTTAAATATATGAAAATATTCATAATTTTTATAAAAATCACTAAGAGTCTTCTCTTATGCTAAAGACTAATAGAATCTAAAAACTATGAGAATATTCATAGTTTTTAGCCTCTATAGAATCTAAAAACTTATAATACATTTAATAATTAAGATTATGGATACTTAAAATAATCAGGGCTTAGTTATAATGTTCTTAAATAAAATTACAATGATTTTATTTATTAATAAAAATACATAAATCTATTCAAAGATATTATAAACGGATATGTTTCACCCATACTTATCTCATTCTTCCATGATAAATAAAAACAAATATACACGCCTAAATTTGAGATTATGTGAAAATAATTATTTTTTGTCTTCATTTATCTCGACAAATATTTTTAATTTTCATCCAACATCACATAAACTCTTATACAATTCATTTTATAAAGTTTCAAAACTTATAATAAGATTGATAATCAAGACTAAGGGTATTTAAACTAAGTAAAATTTGGTCACAATATTCTTAATAGAGTCATAGTATTTTGGTAGTCACTGTCCAATTACTTTGATTCATCAACTTGATAGAGTCATAATATTTTGATTAATTAACTTGATAAAGAGATAGAATTAAACGACTAAAAATGCTCAAATTTAAATTAAATGATAATATATTTATCTATCCTAATAAATCAATTCAATTATATATTCTGCTCACACTTTCATTCCACCACTGAACTTATTTTCTGATAACATATTTTAGTTCAAAAACATTTAATTATTTAGGTTTTTAAGAATAGAGCAAAAAAATAATATATAATGAGAAAATAATGTGGTGATTTAATTCTCTGGAAAAGATAATAAATATATAAAACTCCAAAATTGTTAGGTTTTATATGTGCGTCGTATTTGTAATTTTCGCGATATATGAAACCGTCAACGTTTCGGCGTTGACTGGGTAACGCAGGCTTCCCTTCTCCTCTTCCTCTCTCCCCCCTCACTCGTTAGATCTGGAGAACCTGCAAGGAGAGGAGCAGGGGAAAGAGGGGAAACCCTTCGGACCATTGATCGTCGTATCAGATCCGTCTCTTTTACTTGGTTGATCTCATTCATTCCATTCCCCCATTGGGAATCCGTTCCAAGATCTTCGACATCAGCAAAGAAGCAAAGAAAAGCTCCGATTTTCCTGGACTGTGATGTGATCTCTCTCTCTTGTCTATCGCAATCTCAAATCCGTTGTGAAGGATGAACAGCACGTACTCTGCCGTCCCCGTGACTGCGTCCATCGAGCTCCAAGCCAACTCCCCAGTCCCGCCGCAAGTTCCTCCCAAGAAGGAGTTTTTGGAGGAGGAGTTCGACGATGACCTCCCGCTCATCCTCGACGCCGACGGTGCCGGGTACGGCCCTTCCGCCTCGGGCTCCGGCGTGCCCGGCGCCGTCTTCAATCTCGCCACCTCGATCATCGGCGCCGGGATCATGGCCCTTCCCGCTGCCATGAAGGTCCTCGGCATCCTCCTCGGCTTCGTTTCCATCGTCCTCATGGGAATCCTGTCCGAGATCAGCATCGAGCTCCTCATCCGGTTCGCCGTCCTCTGCAAGTCGACGTCGTACGGGGACGTCGTGGAGTCCGCCCTCGGTCGCCCCTTCAAGATCGTCTCCGAGATCTGCGTCATCGTCAACAATGCCGGGGTCCTCGTTGTCTACTTGATAATCATAGGCGACGTGATGTCGGGCTCCGCCAAGCACGTCGGCGTCTTCGATCAATTGCTCGGGCATGGCGAATGGGATCACAGGAAATTGGTGATCTTTGTGGTGCTGGTCATCTTTTTAGCCCCTCTGTGTGCCCTGGAAAAGATCGACTCGCTTAGTCTCACTTCGGCCGCCTCCGTTGCTCTTGCTGTTGTCTTCGTGGTGGTGTCGTGCATCATTGCTTCGGTTAAGCTTGCCGAAGGCCGAACAAGGACTCCGAGGATGGGGCCGAATTTTGGATCCAAAGCTGCCATCTTGGATTTGCTGGTGGTCGTTCCGATAATGACAAATGCCTATGTTTGCCATTTCAATGTTCAGCCAATCTACAATGAGCTCAAGGAGAGAACACCAAAGAAGATGTATCTTGTTAGTAGGATCACCACAGTGTTGTCTGTCGCCATCTATGCTTCGACTTCTATATCAGGGTATCTGTTGTTCGGAGAAGATACCGAGTCAGATGTCCTGACAAATTTCGATAAGGATCTTGGAATTCCGTTCAGCTCGATCCTGAATTATGTGGTCAGGATTGGATATGTTCTTCATCTGGTTCTTGTTTTTCCTGTCATTCATTTTTCACTCAGGCAGACAGTAGATTCGCTGGTGTTCGCAGGATCAGCTCCTGCAAGCAGGAAAAGGATGTTGGCTTTGACGGCCATCCTACTTTGTGTTATTTATTTTGGTTCTACTATGATACCAAACATATGGGTGGCTTTCAAGTTCACAGGAGCTACAACTGGCATGTCACTAGGGTTCATATTTCCAGCTCTTATTGCCTTGAGATTAGATAAGCAAAAAAAGATCTTAAAGCTTCAAGAGAGGTACATAGCATGGGTGATGTTAGTTTTGGCAGTGGTCGCTAGCATTTTAGGAGTTGTTGGCAATATTTATACTCTTAAGAACATGTCTGAATGATTTATATTTTATGTCAGCTCCAAAATAGGTATAGGAATGCGAAGCTGTGCAATTATTCGTCAGGCCGTGATGGTGACCAATTTATGTGATTGATTAAAAATTAAAAATTTTGTTAATAACAGAAGTTCTTAGTTGTTTTTGAAGTGTCTTTTGTCACATATTGGCTTGATAAGCAGCAATGTAATATGCTTCAGAGGAGATACGCAGTTACAGGTCTAGGCTTTGTAAGCTACTGGAAGAACTTTTACAGGGTTGAGACATCCATTCTGATCCTGTTCTCAATTTTAGGCATTCTATCACTGCTGGTGAAGGTTGGAATACACAGATAGAGGCATGCTTCTGAGATGCAAATCGTTGTATCTACTGAAAGAATCAGGATACTCTATATTGTTCAAGCATTAGGTTCATGTATTTCCTTGATCCTCCTGGTAAGTCCACACTTCTTGTGGCTTATCTTTTATTTGGCAAAAAAAACTTGATTGCATTCCAGTTCTTCAGCCAAGCTGTGCAAAGTTCCTAATATCTGCTTGTCAAAGTGTTTGCAACTGACTCCGAGCATTGTTGTGAGCCGTGACTGCTTTGCAAGAACATGCTTAAAATTAACCATGAAGTCTTTATAGACAGGAGCTTTTGTTCTAACATTATCAGTTGTTGTTTCAGCAAAGCTCTCAGTTGATACTTGGTTAGATTTCTGAGGAGCATTTAGTTAGCTTAGTAATTTCTTTAGTAAGAGTAGTTGATTTGGATGCCATTGTAGCTGTTTGTTGTCTCAGAATTTGTTTCTCTCGAATTTAGGCATATCTTATACTATAAAAAGCTCTCAGTTCAGATTTGGTTATGATTTCTGAAGGGCAATTGTTTGGGTTAATGACTTATATAATTAAAATAGTTGATTTAGATGCCAATATACAATTCTGTTGTTTTCGAATGTGTTTCTCTCAAATTTAAACATTATTTTATACAATAGAAAAGCAGATACAAGGGGGCATGATGTACACCTGAAGTGATCTTGTTCTCATTGCTTTCTTAGCCTCATTACAAACACTTAATCTGTGTGTACAAAAAAAACCAGAAGACATTCTAAATGAGTGATAGGAAATGCAATATTCTGAGATTTCATCTATACCCAATAATCATGAATTAGAACACTACTTACATATCCTCAAGCTTTTAGGACATGCCATTGTATTCTGTCATCTAATTGTTCTTTAAATTGTTTCTTGTTGCTTGATTTCTTTACTTTGCCAAACTATGATTGTTCTTTTGACACCAATGACAGCATATCCAAAACAGTGGGAAAGATTTAAGAATCAGTCCAAACTTCACTTGAGGCCTTTCTCATGGCACCCCTTGGTTCAGTCCTATACTTGCCCATTAAAGTTAGCTTCAGAAAGTATGCTGCATGTGTTTTCTTAAACATGAATCTGAAGCTGTTTTATAGAGAGTGAATAATTGTGGAATGGATATTGGTAAGTTAGCTATCACATTTTTTAGTTTCCATCTGGTTCCATAAAGAACTGGCTCCTATCTTCTGGGAGTACCATAAATCCATTTTCTATTGTTCACACAAAACAGCTTATGTGTAGTGTAGTACATGAAGTTATTGTTCAGAATATATACTAGTTATTATTTATCCTAATATTATATTTCAGGACAACTAGAAAGACCTGTAGATATTTTGTCTATATAGCAATTTCAGCAAAACCCCTACCAAAAAATGAAATGTAGTCATAAAGCTGTTTTGTCCCTGTTTTTGTAAAAGGCTACAGCTTGAAATCAGCTTTTGAATGAGATCCATAATTCATGCACTTGGAACTCCCTTCTGGGTTTGAATACTGGTGCTATTATGCATTTCTTGTGATAATAAATGTCCTCTTGTTTGGTCTGACAAGTTAGCTAAGCTGACTAAAAAGCTGTTCTCTACCTGTATGGTATTTTATTTGGAGATTTTGATTCCATCCACTTTTTAGCTTCCATTTCTGCTGTAGAATGGTCTAGGAACAACATTATTCATTGCCATCTTCTAGTCTAAAAATGCACCTGTAAGATATGATGCCTGACTCTCGATTGAACTTTAAATCTCAGAAGGAATCATCATTGAAGTCACTATGTGAAGCTTTGTACTAAAGATTTATCTCATCAATGATAGGCAAATTGGAGAGTTTTATGTAATTTAAAGTGCCAAAACATCCAAGTCTTCTTATCATTTTTTTTGTTTCCAGATTGGAGAATTGTTGATCTGGAACCAACACCACCACTATGTGTAGGTTGAAGACAGGTTATCTAATGAACCTGCAAAGAGAACTTGATACCAATAAAATATTATTCATTCATATTATTACTATAGGATGATACTGGATGTATATCGATGCCGATGAGATGTATATTATTACCGATGTATATCGATGCCGTAACGGTCCAGTGGGTCACTGAGTCTGATATTACACTGACATTGAAATCACAATTGGAATATATGATACCAAATCACCAAATGCTAGAGCTTGTCTCCAATATCTGCCTGCCTTAAGTGCCTAAATGTGTCACATATAGGAAACTTTCTTGTGATCTGATGAACAAATCCATCCTTCTTCCCCCACAACAGTCATCATCCATGTTCTTTATTCTCTAATTCACCATGCAAAAGACTAGCACAAAAGCAACTCTAATTCATTTGCATTGCCACTTTCGCACACAACAAAAGGAACAATCACCTCCAGTTCTCATGCATCTTTCATGAGCAGACGCACACAAGCAATCCCAAAGTCGGACTGAAATCAGCATAAGATAAATGAGGAGGCCACCCAGATAACTACTCTTTCATTTGGTGGTGGTGGCAGCTGATCACTTTAACTAGAAACTATGAAGAATTTAGAAGATGAAGAAAGAACAATTTGGCATAGGTTGTCCTCATGCACCCATATGAACAAACATTTTGGTGTATGATTTGACCATCTATGAGACTGAAAAGAGCATGTCCTCTTTGTTGGATACATTTTGCATCATCACATAAAGAAAAATCAACAGTTAATAAGTGTATTTAGTCAGCAGGTAACTCTACTCCTAAGAAAAATCATTTCATGCAACACATTTTTGCCATCCAAGTGTCGCCTTGATTTTACCATCAAATCCTTGCAAAATTTATGTGCTAGCTACAGATGATTCATATCAAAATGAAAGACAAATCTCATCCCTAAAAATATCAAGATGATCGATATCTCATCCTTAAGGTAGACAACATTTCCCATGCGCCATTCTTCAAGTTTATTTTATCTAGAAAACCAAACTAAAATGTATTACGGTCATAAGAGCCATTCCCCATCACTGAACATTTTGTTTTTCACATATTCTAATCGCATATGCAGTGGTCAACAATTTTGCGGTCTAGGATGTCATTCTTTAAGGTGCTGGAATGCTTCTGTATCCAATAAATGGAGCAGTTAATTTTCGACTATCTCCTGCTGTTTGCTGTCTTGGCCTTGCTCAGGTTGGCAAGCTCCTCAATCAGCTTCTTCTCTTCAGTACTTAAGCTCTTTGGAATCTCCACCTGCACACGAACCAACTGATCTCCCCTGGTGTTTGGCTTTCCAAGGTAAGGAACACCCTTCTTAGCCATTACCAGAGTGGTACCTGGCTGTGTTCCAGCTGGAATCTTCAGCTCCACCATTCCATCCACTGTGGGAACCTTCGTGGTGGTCCCTAAGATTGCATCAATGTATGATACCTTGCACGTGTAGAGAATGTTAGTTCCATCCCTCTTAAGCACAGGGTCTGAAAGAACTTCAATGAATACATAAAGGTCTCCTGGCGGGCCGCCTCTCCTTCCAGCATTTCCCTCTGACCGGACCCTCAGCCGACTACCGGAGTCAACTCCAGCAGGAACTTTCAGACTTATTCTCTTTGTTCGCCTCACACGACCATCTCCTCTACAGGTGTTGCATGGGGTAGAGAACTCACCAGTGCCATCGCAAGTTGTGCAACTCATAACCTGCTGGAATACACCCAGTGGGGTCCTTGCCGAAGACACAACTTGACCTTGACCTCCACAAGTGTTGCACTTGCTTGGCTGAGTACCTGGTTTGGCACCAGAACCATCACAGGTTCCACAACTCTCTAGCCGTGTAATCTCTATCTCCTTTTCCACACCAAAAATTGCGTCTTTGAAATTTAGGATAAGATTGTAGCTCTCATCATCACCCTGCATAGGCCTGTTGCGAGCTGCTCTGGTTCCACCCATCCCACCCATCCCTCCCATGCCTTCAAATAATGACTCAAAGAGATCAAATGGGTTGCTGAAATCCTGCACTTGAAAAAAAAAGTTTAATAGAGTTAGGCAAGAAACAGAGTTTATTGATGATTATCCTTCTGCAGAGTAAAGCCTGTCTCTAGCTGATACTCACCCCCATGCCCATGCCAGCACCTTTGAGGCCAGCTTCTCCATACTTATCATACAAAGACCTCTTTTCATCATCTGACAAGACCTGTAGCCAAGTGACTAGAATGTCGTAAAAGAGTATATTAAGATAGCTGCTAAATCTACTAGTTTGAACAAACTTATCCATGAGAAGGGGAATAACCTCATACGCGTTACTAATCTCCTTAAACTTTTGTTCTGCTCCAGGTTCTCTAAAACAAATAACATCCAGCAAAAGTTAGTCCCATCTCAAGTTTAGCAAATTTGCTCATATATGAAGCTGACAAAATCAAGAGATCAATGATGGTAACTATTTTGCATGATGACCTATTGTCTAAAAATCCTTAGCACACATATTACAACAGCTACCATTTTGGTCAATAATTGCTAAATAAAGAAGTTACCTCCATCTTAAGTTTAGCAAAATTGCTCATAGATAAAGATGACAAAATCAAGAGATTAATAATGGAAACTATTTTGCATGCCGAACTATTGTCTATAAATCCTTAGCACACATATTACAGCAGCTACCAGTCTGGTCAATAATTGCTAAATAAGAAGAAAACTAACAGAAATTATGCAGACTGTCCAGTTGTCCATTAAACATTATATCCTCCATCTGCTATTCTTTCTCTATTATTTGTAACTATTTTTGCTTCTTCCTTTTTGATTTTAAATGCTTCTTTCTCCCTCTCCTTGCTCGTTCACTTCATTTTCATACTAAGTGAACAAGCCTGGGTTTAGATTGGTTAATATGCTAAGGCACAAAACTGATTTTACATGTCATGCTTAAATTTTGAAGCCTCATTAGACCAGATTGTTTGTCATACCAGATAAATGCTTCGTTTTCATAAACATAATGCTACTGAAAAGAACATAACCCAAAAATTGTCATCGATCTTTCATGTACAAACATTTTAAGTTTTTAACTAAATAATCAATTAAAATTTGCTGCTGAGAAATGCATTATCTGCACCCAAGTGAATGGACAGAATAATTTAGAGGGTAAATGTCTTCTTCTCATTTTTTATTGTCTTTGATACACACCCATATTTAGTTTCCTTCTCTTTTTCTGGGGATGGAGGTGGGTGAGTGGGTGGATGACTCGTTAATTGTTATTTTTTAATCATTATTTTCATGGCTGAAACAAAACATGAACATAATGTGGCAAAACATACACATTATCTCTCTACTCACTTGTTCACATCAGGATGGTAATTCCTTGCAAGCTTCCTATAAGCTGCACACCAGAAGACATCAGCATACATAATCATGTGTAGTTAAAAAATAGATTAAAAAATAGATAAGCAAGCACTAGTTGACAGCTAGTCTAAGATTATGGAAATTAGCCTCTTGTTCAGTTGTTTAGGTAGGCACATGGTCCGCAACGTACAAAAGTAAAAAAATGTTTTCAATGATTAAAATCTCAGTCAATACCAGTTTTTGTAATCAGTCAAACTGGTTCAATACCGGTACACCAAGTGCCAAGTGGCATACTAATATATATATATCATGGTATCACTAAACAAATAACAAAAACTTAAATATGAATCAGTACCAACTTATATGATCTAGTACCCATCATTGGTCAGACTGGTAAATACCAGGTTGATATGTATTGGTCCAACTAGCATTTAATTCTTTAGTTGTTTTATTGCCTAGGAAAACATACTGATATAACTAAAAGTTCAGGGTAAACCAGTCTATGACTTCCAAGTGTTCCATCAGAACCATACAACCAAGATAATAGAAGGTTGGTGGGCCAAAATAAAGTATTATTGTAAACTCAGACACAGTGAAACATGGATTGAGAAACTAATCGTATGATGTGTACTAATTAGTATTTACTGGTCCAACTAAGAATCAATGTCAGACCATATGATTTGGTATCATCAGTTGGTCTTTCTTTGTTATTTTTTAGGGTGATATTGGGCGGTACAAGTTGATATATAACTTGGTGTGCTGATATTGTACTGGTTCGGTAGATTACTGAAACTAGTATTGGACGTAAATATAGTTGTAAGATTCATCATTCAACAATAAGAAGGTGAACAGGGAACATATATTGCGGCACTGTCATAAAGGGCAAGATAACAAAGAATTATTAGTCACTAGACAGTCTATTTCCTTAAATTAAATAAATAACAAACTTGCATCACAGGACCTATAAATGCAAAAGCAACAGGAAAAATCCCATAACAGTAGCAAATAGAAAGGAAAGAAGGCCGAGTCTTGTGAGAAATACTTGCCACTTTTTATTTCAGATTTGCTCGCATTTCTTGATACACCAAGGACATCATAGTAATCCTGCAAAAGATGATACCACAGGGAAAAATGATCAAAGATAAATTTACATTTACATCAACATATAACTTGCCCAATCTATGATCAAATATTTCAACTTAATTATAAGGTTAAAAAACAATGCATTATAAACACAAATGCACTCACGGCAGCAGCTCTGACAACAAATCGTGCTCCCCTATTATGCCTATTTAGGTGCGGCACCTTATTAAATAAAGCTGATGAAGACACTTGGGCAAGAAAACTTGCAGGTGATGATGCCAGATTACTTGAAGTACTGCAAATATACAATAAATCAGTGAGTTTGAAAGGCTATAGATCAAAGTCAGACTTCATAGATAACACAGACATAAGAAATGCTTTTTTCATTTGGTTAATTGAGTTCTTATCACAGTTTCTGATATTTACTAAAGGTATTGATCACTTACGCACTTGTATGGAATCAATTTTGACAGATTCAGCAAATCTGATTTGCTTTCATGTAGGCTCCATGTTTTCAAGTAGAACTCAATGGTCTCGGCTAGTTCAATTGAGAACTGAATTGAAATATCTCAATTACCAGAGGTAAATTGCTCCCTCATGTATTGTTGTCTTGGACAATCACCTATTACATGGGTTAGTGCCTATGCATGACACCTGGGCAATGCTTGCCTGAACCACCATATATATACATAGAATACACAATCATATATATAAACAAATACATTTATGTATGTTTTAGTGAATATAACTTCACATGCACTGTATACATTTATATGCCACCTTAATATAATAATGACATGTATCGTACATGAATCATCCTTTGTTTTTAAATTTGATTACTGCTAGAAACCACAATTCATTAACATTTCCCAAGAATTAATATTACGTCAATGGTGTTTCTACAAGAGAGAGTACATTAAAATGCTAATCATAAGTTCCTGTAACATATATGTAGAGGTGTCGATGCTTTTGGTCTACTTCGTTTTAATACAGCAAAGCAAAGACATTCACACTTGACCCAAGCTTCATGATCCCAAGTCCCAAAAATGATAAAAGATTTCTGAATTAAAGCTTAAGCCATGTAAATAACTATTCAACTTAAGTTTGAGACAAGACTTTCGATTAAAAATGCAATTAAAATCAGGATCACAATCAAATTGGATTTAACCTCATTTTCAAGGAAACATATGTTTGGCACCAACAGATCAAAGCTCTTGAAATATATCTGATTTGTCTATCCAATGGGCAATCTTAAAGAAGTCAGGTAGGGTTAACTTGACTGGTGGTTTTGGGTCAAGATTGGAACCTCTAAATATATGTATAATTGATTTACAAAATGATGAGCTGCATTTGTGTAGGTTTGTCATTGGCCTGTAGCCTTGGCACTTGTTAAGTTACTGCTTCAGCTTTATGATAGGATTACCATCCAAAATTGCCTTGGTTACTGGAGTCTTCATGGGACTTCTTCAGTCAAGATCTCTTTTCTCTTGATAAAATCACATAGTTGATCTACTTCCAATCAAATTTGAAGTGGAAATGAGAAAATCAAACCAAAATACCATATTTTTCTGGTTACAGCAAAAGAAACCTCAGATAAAAGTGTCCAAAATAAAGTAAAATGTTGAATCCCAAACAAAAATACTTCTGAATTTTTTTTTATATAATTCATGTTTTATTATAAAAGCAACCAAAAATGTAATGATCTTTGATTGTACCAAAAGACTCTTAAAATGGGAGTCACATGCTTTAACAATTTACTTCCTCAACTTGATCAACTTCTCGTTGTTAGTCATACTTTTAAGTCATTATTTAATAATGCCAACATTTGTCAAGCATGAAAAAAAATTCTTCCCTTTTCTCTAATGTTTAAACTTTTCAATCTTGTCTTCTTTGTTTATCCTTTTCCAATTATGGTTGAAACGAAAAATCAAGACTGAAACTCAAACTTAAACTACTACAAATGACAAAATTGCTGAAATATTTCATTCAACAATTGGCTGAAACAGACATTTCAAACCATAACACACACTATGCTGGTATCGTAGCGTGTATGGATCTGGACCAAGTCTATGCACGCGCACATAACAAACACAACATGGCATGAAAGCAAGTGCGGCAACAGGATAATTACTGAAATGCATACGTGCCATGGAAAGTTGAGAGCTAAACTGATCCTTGCAAAAAGCATAAAAAAATGATAGAATGTAGTGCAAATAAAGGCATCTTAATCAGTAAATAACTTAAGGCTGTAAAGACAAGTTAGGTATCTAAAAGTGAAATTAAGAACTCTGAGGCCAATTCTGCCTTAAGATAACATAATAAATTCTCACACTACTAAAATGAATCCCATGGTTATAGCATTTCAACAATTTTTAGTGTAAAGAAGGAAGCCACACAAGCCACATATACAAGATTATAAGATTTATATTAAGAAACACAATAAAGAGAAATAGCTATATGTTTTCTGAAATTTAAACCTCATTCAACAACTGATGAAAGCCAAGGCCTATCATTTGAGAGTTCAAGTAACCAGGATGCCCTAGATAGCCCATACATACATTAAATATTCAAGGCCTCATGACCAGTTGAGTACTAGAACAGAAGCACAGCTGAATTGTGCATATCTCACCTAATTGTATAGTTTGAATCTACAAATTGTAGAATATGTAGAGAGAAAAAAGCACACCAACAGATACATAAGGAATATATTGCTCTTTCAGACTTAATACAAAAAGATGATATAGCTGCTTACACAATTTGAGGCATCAGCACCATTTTTGTATAATGACAAGTCTTAGCTCCTGGAGATGCATTTCTACATATCACCTGAGATTGCACTCCCAACCGAGGCACTGAAATCCCTTTACATGGTAAAGTTGCCATTGGACTGGTGCAGCCAATATAAGCAAATTCAACCTCCTTTTGTCTCGCTGCAATAGCAGATAGGATAATCAACTTTCTTGTATTAATAAGAATATAAAGATCACATTGTCATGATGTTATTATTTGCCTGTTGTGTTGCTTGTTTCATCTACTCGTGCAAAAACACACAAAAAAAAAGCAAACATGTCCCATAATATTATGTTCCCACCAAGTTCCACCAATGACCTCTAGCAACTCTTAAATAGTTTATGAACAATGATCCAGCATTAACTAGTTTATGCATCTAAGTCATAAAACCAAAAGTAACTCATACATCACACAACACAAAGTTCCCAGAGTATATGAGCTTCTTTATCCAATTGGTCAGGTCATTCCATGTGCTAGAAGAACTTGCTGAAATCTTCCATGCTCTTCCTAGTTATCAAGTAATAACTTCCTTATATATTGGGTCAATGATTTAACCATTTACAGAGTTCACCACGTTTCCCCATCCTTCCGCAATTGTCTCAATACTTTCTCATCTTCTTCAGGATTCCAGATGAAGAAATTATGCACAAAGGTAATGTATCAGACTGCCCTTAAAAAAATTCCGAACTTACCTCCAAATTAGAAAATCCTAAACAGAACAAAAAGTCTCAGAGGTCAACAATTTAACCATTTACAGAAATTCCCAATGTTTCCTCATCCTTCAGTGTCTCAATACTCCGTCAGCTACATTGGTGTTCGGATCAACTCATTATGCACAAAAGTAACTATATTAGCCCGCCCGAAAAGGACAAATTGACTTCACACCAGATCAAATCCTCACTAATAACAATATTGACATCTCAGATTCTTGGCCCAGCCAAGAACCACCCGTACGCATCCGTCTCTCCAGTCTCTGCATTCACTCAAATACTTGATTTAGACTGCTCCAAAAGCAAATCTTCAGTTTACTGTCTTCGAAACCATTAGGAGATAACCCGTACATCTCCACCCAGGCAAGGAACAACAGTCTTGACCAACGACGAAGATAGAATACCACCAAAAAATTTTCATGGCCACCACGAAGAAGCTTTCAATATAGTAACCCATATAAATGAATATCGTGAAGATTCAATACTAAAAGGAGGGGAAAAGTCTTAGCATGGCTAAGAGCCTTGGCCCGCCGGACACCATCAAACCGATTTGGCTTCAGGAGAGGATGGAGGGCTCCATACCTAATCCAAAAGCGGAGGAGGCGGAGGCGGCTGAGGGGATCCGCTTCTCCCTTCCCTGGGGCAGGGGATCGAGGCCGACGAGGTGTTCGCGAATGCGATAAGAGGCCGTAAGGGAAACTGCGAGAACGGGTGCGCGAGGCTAATAAACGAATTAGGATCTCCTCCAATTCGTGCACCAGATCAATTTATCAAATGGCAGCTCTCGGTTCGGATCGGATCGGATCCAATCGGAAGATCCCGTCACGGAGTGCCATCTAAAACCGTCCATGGGATCACCATCAGTAAATGCGAATCTCGATGCTAAAAGGTCGGGCGACGCAAGCGCCCTGATTAATCTGACCCGCTCGGATCAAGTTTCGGGCTGGTTCTGGTATCTTGATATTTAGTCGGATCCGGGTTCGGACAGTGTTGGGAAAGACTTGGATTTTCGGGTACCTACATCTACCCGACCCGTTTAATTCGGACTTGGATCCTTGAATTGGGTTCGGTTTAATTTCACCGAATTGAACCGAAACCGAGCCAGATCGCGACGAGCGAAACCCAAGGCTGTTACTCCGAATTGAACTCACCGCTGTGTCTGCTCGCCAGCGGACGCCGTGGGGATGGCGGCGGAGAGCCCCTCGGGCGAACTCAACCTCGGCGAGATCGAGCTGCAAGATCCCTCCCCTCCACCCTCTCTTCGCCTCAAGGCTGCACTCGATGCTTGCTCCAAGGTACTCCGATCCTTTGTAAACCCTAAACCTCGCACCCTTTGGCCTCCCCCTCCCGTCTTTTTCATTTATTCTTTCGGAAGCCTAACTTTGATCGCTTCCGTGGTCTTGCAGTCCTTTGAGTCTGGCGATCTCGGCAAGTCTGATGAGGCGGTCGCGGCGGTAGTGAGCTTCCTCGATTCGATCGTCGATCCTGGTAACGCCGCGATCGATGATGCCGTCGCGCAGAACGCACTTGAGGAGATCCACCACTACTTGTCATCTGCTTCGTCGAATCAGGTATCTTGGTAGTTCGTTTGAGGGGTTTGACCTTTTGAAACGATCGCATCTAGGGTCTAATGGGATGTTTTTGGATGCAGACGGTAGTTGAGGCACTCTCTCTTGAGCTCCCCAAGGTGGTGGTGAAATTTGTAGCTTTATCAGATCGTTGTCGGGAGATTGCTGAGAGTATTATCGACCATCTCGTAGCCACCTGTAGTCCACGGGACTTGCTGTCGATTCTTTGTGAGGTGAGGATCACAGAGTTAATCCTACTGTATCAATTTCGACAGTTTGTGATATGAATATGTTACTGAATTACGCTTCTGGGATATTCATGCATCAAGGAAAATTTGCCTTGTTTTTTCATCTTAGAACACCTTTTTACAATGAAGCTCATTAGCAGAACTGATGCTCATGTAAATAAGCTGCTCAGTACCTGTTTAGCTGTAGTGGTGCCATTAGTGCTTGCTTAATTTTGCAAATCTTGAAATTAGGATAAATTTTAAAATGTTTATCAAGTACAAATTTGAATTATTGTACTAACTTATGTAAACTTTCTGTGTTACATCAAAGTTTTGAAGCTTTAAATGATGAACTTAACCAACATCCATTGATAGAAGAATTACCTGTTCATTTGTATGTTATAATATGTATATAACTGGGATTCTACCCACCATGCTTTGGAGGCAAAAAAAAAAAGGCATTTCCTGTTTGAGATACATGATGTTAACATTGAAATTGGTTGATCCAGGACTTTCATCAGGGTTAATTAGAGTTTTTTGGCATTGTCAGAAAGCAAACATTTTTGGAGCTCAAAATATTCTTAACGAATTGTTTAGTAGTTGAGTGGATTTTCTAGTGACAAGCTTGACATGTTTGAAAATTTAAATTATTCCAGAGCTGTATATATTCAAATAGTATGAATCTTGTCCAGATGTGCTTCAGATTATCAGCTTGTTTATTGACTCGGATGGTCCACCTTGCTTGTTGCGTGGTACATGACTGTTGGATTCTGGTAGTCACATATTTCATTATAAAGTTGTCAGGTTGGTTTGAATTGAAATATTTGGTTAGTTGCTACACTAGAGATAATCATTTGATGTTGTAACATTCACACTTCATTAATATTACCAATGATGCAAATCTGTTTTAAGTGTTTTTCTTTTCATTTTGTGGCTGTTTATATATGATTTAGTGTCACCCTACTTTTATCTGGTTGTAGCTGGATTATAAATTCTGTGTAATGCTTTTGACTTATTTGCCTGGTAGTGATGTATGTGATTTTTGTTTAATGCAAGCATGACATATATTGGTCCAAATAAATGTCTTAAATGTTGCAGGCATCAGATACCCAGATTAGAGTGTCAAAGTCACCAAGTTACTTTATTCCGCTCTTAGGTGGGATCTCAAAAGGTAATTCTTGCTGATGGTAATATCATGAATAATATCTGATGCACATTTGTGAAAATTAGTTTTATGCACTATATGGAGAATTGTTATCGTGCATGAATATTGGTGAGTTGCTGATGCATTTCCAGCTCTCTTTACTTCATCAATTTGCATGTCTAGTTTGTTGTAATTATATTCTTCAGTTGCATGGGGTCAATCAATGATGTTGTAAGTGACTTCTTTGGAAGATATTATTTAATTAGACCATGACAGTATGCAATCATAAACTTTATACATTGTTGCCATGAACTATGTATGACATATAGAAATCTACTTGTACTGCCATTTCGTTAAACCATTATTTTTTTCCTCTTAAAACACTTTCACTATGCTAAATCATTTTTGCATCTCTCTCAAAACACTTCCACTTTGCTAATTTTTTTTTGCATCTATCTCAAAACACTTGAAATGCAATTTTCATTGTTCTCACTTAATCTTTTAACTTAAAGTTCTAAGATTGATAATGTTGAAGTCTTTTCTGATCTCTTTTGCTATTACTATTAAGGAGTGGTCAAATCCTGAATCACCCCCTATGGATCTCGGATCCTGCTAGATGATCAAAATGGCATATGTTGACTTTGACTTCAATGAGTATAGTTAATCTCTGATTTTAGATCATTCTTTTCTTGGTTTCATAGTAGGAAATTGAGTGGATTAGAATTTTCTGCTTTTTTTAATGATTTTCGGAAGATTTCCTTTTTTAGTTTTTCTTTTTTTTTATGGAGCCTTTAGATACATTTTTGAGTCTATTTAAATTTTAAACTGTGTATATTCTAACATTTAGATTGAGATCTCTTCACCTCTTGTTCTGTCAATTTGTCCTCAATTTACGCTAGCCATCTGATTTTGTATTGCCCAGTCCTACTTTTACTAGGTACCTGTACTTTGTTTTTGAAGCATATTTTAAATAATGTAATGAAGCTTAGTCTATTTTATCATATGGTTCTTTTTGGGGATAGAGATTATATTCACTTTATTATATGTTTGTAACTAAAGAAAAGAGCATCATTTGAATGATTCCTATGTTTTGTATTCTTGAAGCTTGAGCAACTTTACACTAATTCAATAAATGATGTATAGAATCATATTGGTCATATTTTCTCGTACTTTATTGTTAGGCACCAAACCTAACGGGAAAAAACACAATTTATGTGTTCACTAATAGATTTAGTTGCTCTTGCAGTTTTTCTTTGTATACAGAGGCGTCATCTTGAACAAGTAAAGGCAGCACTACCTGCTATCCTTGAAGTTCTTTATGCTTGTTCTTCGGAGTCTGACGACGAAGAGAAAGATAACTATCAGGATTTATTTAGCACAGCGGTTGGCATTGGAACATCTATTCAAGCAATTTGTGGGAAAATGGTTTGTTTTTTTGACAGGAGAATCTTCATGCATTCATAGGAACTTATTGTTTATAATCTGTTTTACATTAAATCATATCCCCGGACCTGCAACAGGTTGGAAGAAGAAAAGAAGAGCTACATGCAATACTTGGTCTTTATGTCCTGCAAAATATAGTTGAGTATCAACACAACATCCCTCTCTCTCTGTCTCTATGTTTTCTATGATCTGATAATACTTTCTAATGGTACTTTAGGCTCTTGTATCAAGAAGCAAACATGCAAATATTATTTCAAGCTACTGTTCACTTGTTCTGCGATTTTCTGAGTTGCTTCCCTTTTGTGGGTTCTCCTTTTATGGTCTGATAATGGGATCCGATGTCAGTTCAGCTATTGATGAAGTTTCCAAAGGTAACTATAGCTGATCTGATATATTTTTGTCCTTAGTAATGTCCTTGAGAAATTTTGCTGGTAACTATACATTAACTTTTATTCTGATAAATTCTTTTTGAAGCAATGTAGAGGATGACAATGGCTTGCTGGCCTGCTTTTCATTGGCAGTGAATGGGGCAGCTCTTGCAGGTATATCTGACATGTTGGCCCTACCATTTGCTTCTTTGCTTTCCATAATCTTTCCGTTTGCCACTTGCTACATCGAGGAGTGTGATATTATTTCTTGATTTGATGTTGTACTACAGTTATATGGGGGTATATCAATAATGAAGTTGCAAAAGCTGCTGGGGACCAGTTGACGGCTGTTCTAGACAAAATTCGAAGCAATCGAAGTGAAAGGTGGCAAGTTATTGGGATGTTGAAACCTATACTTTCCTCGATAGACTATTCATGGGAAATAAAATATCATTGCATAGACCTGCTAGCTAGCATAATGGATGGAACTAACACCGAAGAACATAACGATGATAACGATATTGATTTCTCATCCGTTATGCCGAGTCTCTTTACTACCCTCCAGGTACTTCTTGTTGCTGATTTGCATCTGATAAGCTCCTATTTTATTTATCATTTTCTTGATCTTTAGTGAGTATTGCAGGCTATCCAAAGGATCATGATTAGTGCTTCAGATGCCTCAATAAGAAAAAAAGCTTTTGCCACACTTAGAAAGGTATACTCTAAATGCATGATCTCTTTTCTACCGAACATGCTGGTTATCTACATTTGCCAGATGTCTACACTGGAGGATTTTCTTGTAATATATTTTGATGTGCTTTTATATGAATCCAAACCTTCTACCTGCTCGTAGCTCTTGGGTCCTATCATTTGGTTAGAAATGCTTATTGTTTAGTGGAAGAAATTTCATATGGGGGGCTTTGATCGGACCACATTGTTGAAGAAAAAAATATTTTGGATTGAAATAGTAAAG